CCATTAATCATTTCAAAACTCAGCCTAATAACCCGTTCATAAAAACCTGTTAAAACTCAATCCAAAACTCCGACCGCCCTACCAAACTCGACCTGCCCGCTAGCCTTTCTTTTAAAAAAGCTTTAAACGCATTAAATTTAAAACTTTGAAAAAGTTGGATGGGGAAGTGCATCACTCCAATCTTGGGTAGGGATGACAATGGACTGAAAAAAAACGGATAATCGTCCAAATTCGTCCCGTTTAGACCGGAGATGGACTATACGTATTGGACGGTGAACGTATACAGGGATACCCGTATAAACCCGTGTAGGAATGAATGCGGGGATGAACCTACCCTTATCCCCGCCCCGCCCAGTCCCTCTTACCCGTTAAAAATATATATATATATATATATATATATATATATATATATATATATATATATATATATATATATATATATATAAACTCCCAATTATAGCTAATCATGCATTTGCATATGATAGTTCTCTTTACATCTCATCTGGAACCATTACACAGACTGCTCTGATTTTTGGAGACTAAATGAACCACAACAGTTTATTTTTCAAATTCTAATTCGTAGCAGTTTTCAATATGACGTAGACAATGGTAATGCAATATGTTGTCATCAAAATAATTCTTAGAAATGCTACAACGTGGGGCAAGGGATGGTTTACAGGTGTTTACAACTTGTATGATCTCCGTTGACATGTTTTGTATGCATCAACTAAGAAATATGCAAATCAACTGCAACGCTTGTTAGAGATAATTAAAGATGTTGAAAAAATTGCTAGTGTTAAAATATTTGCTTGTTATTTGTAACAAGCAAATTTAGTTTCTGGTTGACTAACTATTGATTGGATTATGTTGACTTGAACTTAGGCTTAGGTTTAGGCTTAGGCTTGGGCGGGTATGGGGGAAGCGGGGACGGGGACGCGAATTATAAATTTACCCGCGGACGAAGATGGAGATGAAAATTATACCAGTTAGCGGGAATTGACGAAAATTTTAAGTGGGTACGGAGATGAAGACTATACCCCCGCCCCCGTTTCGGTTCATTGACATCCCTAGTCTTGGGTGTCTCCTGAAGACTTGCACCGTTGCGCATCTCTAAGTTCTGCCTGGGAACAAGTGAACAATGATAAAATAAAATGGTGTATTTTAAAAAATGACATGTGACATCATATGATTGAGAAACTTGTTTATATATATATACAAGATATGCATCTCACGTAGAATCAACAACTATACTCTCTAACTCCACAACCCTAAATCCACCCCAAAAACAAAAGCTCTATGGAGTCTTCTTGCATCCCAGTGATTGATGTTCAACACTTTTCACGACAATTTGGAAAACTCATAGCAGCATGTGAGGAGTGGGGATGTTTCAGAATCATCAACCATAAAATCCCATTGTCGTTGATGTCGGAAATGAAGGCGGTGGCCGAATGTCTTATGAATCTCCCCATGGAAATCAAACTAAAGACTACAGGTGATGTTATTGGCAAAGGTTACGTACCACCTACGGAAACCAGTCCTCTTTATGAAAGCTTGGGTGTGTATGACATCGCTTTACCTGAGTCCTTCCGCTCTTTTTGTGATCTTCTAAATGTCTCTACTCACCAAAGGTACTATTATGATTTCATATGAAGTACTAGTTCTATTTTGACGCAGGGTAGCATAAATAAAAAAATGAGATTAAGCAACAGAAGTCATAATCTGTTGAATATCGAAATAATACCAGATTAGAGTCTTCAAAAATCTTGTTGATAATACAAAATACCAAGGCAATTGAGAAAAGAGAACTTGTCTCTAAGTTTTTATTCAAATTAAAACCAAAGCTACTAAATCATTTTTCAAGACCACATAAATATGAAAACTTAATGGCTCTAAATTACTAGAAAAAATCAAGCAAATAAACAATATTACTAAGTACTAGTTCTATTTTATTTCCTTTTACTTGATTTACTTTGCACCTAATTTCTTACAGGGATACAATACTGAGATACTTCAAGGCAGTAGAGGAGTTGGGCATGGATATCGGTGGCAAGTTGGTTGAAGCATTGGGGTTGGACATCCCTGAGTTTATGAAAGGATGGCCCTGCCAATTTCGAATGCTCAAATACAATTTCACTCCCGAGACTGTAGGATCAAATGGTGCCACAATGCACTCAGACTTGTCATATTTTACTATACTCCAGGATGATGAAAGTGTTGGTGGTCTAGAACTGGTAGACAAGCAGTCTGGTGAACTAATAAATGTTGAACCCTCGTCGCCGGGTACCCTTCTTGTGGTCATTGGAGATATTGCTAAGGTATGAAACGTGTTTTTCTTCCTTATTACAATAATTATTTGTTTTGTTGTCTTCCTTATAAAGAAGTACTTGTGATACTACTTGCTTATATGTCAAAGGCTTGGAGCAATGGAAGGTTTTATAATGTGAAGCACCGAGTGCAAGACAAGGAAGGGAAACCGCGTGTATCAGTTGTTACGTTCTTCCTAGGACCAAAGGAGGCGAAAGTAGAAGCACCATTAGAACTAGTGGGATCTGACCTCCCGCATCTCTATGTTCCTTTTGGTGTTGAAGAATATAGAATGCTTCGGATCTCCACAGGTTCATCAACTGGGGAAGCGACTGGGGAAGCTCTTGAGCACTTCCGCACCGCTAGCTCTATCAAAATATAGTATTCCAAATCCTTGGGAGGGGCACAGAGGCAAGATGGATATGCTAATATAATTTCAATCAGACCGGTCTTCTTCTTTGTGTATGAGTGCGCCTGCACGGCAACTATGTGTGTTTTGTTTACCTTTTGTTTCACTTGGGCTTGGGCTGTTTGGGTTCAGTGTCTTGAATAAAGAAACAATTGGATGATCGAATAATAAAACAAGTCCCTTGCTATGTAGTGGGCTTGAATGTTTTAAATTCTTATTTTTATCGATGTCAATATGTTAAGAGCAATGTTATTAAGACATAATTTATTGATCTAATTTACTATAGTTATTAGATTGATTGTAGGTCATATCATACGAAGCACAGATACTTCGGCAAGGTTGACGTACTTATATTGGATACTCATCATACGTATCCGATAATTAATAAAATATGTGGATATTTTGCGGATACTTATGAAAAAGGAACATGATTTACAATTTTTAATTTTAATTTATACTCTCTCCTTTCGAGTTCACGTATAATATAAAACTTCAATAAAATTTCATCTAATTTTGAAGACCCGAGTGTCTTTTAATTAATATCTACTATTATAGGTAAAAAGAGTATAAAAAATTTAGTTAGTTATGCTATAATATTAAAAAAATACTTCTAAACAAACTAACTAATTAAATGTGATTTGCATTCTTTTAATTGGTCACACTTATTTCAATTTATGGATATATCTTAACGAGACGATATAACATATTTAGTAATCACAATTATTGAATAGTTAGTGAATTATTTAGTAATATGGACGTTATCTGTTGCTTGTTTGGTTGCCACAGGCAACTAGTCCGCTAGATTGAAAATACTTGGATAGGGGGGGTGGAGACCAAGCCAATGCACGGATAATTTTGAGTTCGATGAACCGAAGTCATCCCGCTAGGCATTTAATATATTATGCTTTGGTCTGTAAATAGATCTACCTAAACTGTTTTTAACAAGTAACTTGTCTTAATTAGTCTCCTCAGATTGATTGGATTAAGATGGTTAGACCCTCTCTCATCATTTTTGACAATAAATTTATATTTAAGAAAACTGTTGAGGATGAACACCCCTAATCAATATTCAGGGAATTCCTCTTTAATATGTATGTAGATAGTTTTCATGATAAACCACCTATAGGATAAATAAACATGTAGGAAACTCCTGTTTAAATAAACATGTGCTTAGATTAAAATGAAAATGTCCGAATTCAAATTGTAGCAGTAGAGTGGCAAAAACGCAGAGCATACAATGTTTATTATAAATTTTCATGGTTATGTGATGATTTCTTGTGTCATTAATTGTTAATAATATTAATTGCGGCTGTTGTTTTGCTTTATATACGCAATATCAGCTTAGGTATGATTTGGAGGGATATCAAGCATTGATTGAATCAGACTCTTTAGTGGTGGTAAACGCTATTAAAGGTATGTTTCAGTGTTCTTGGCCTTACTTGGGGATTATGGAGCAGATTGGGAAGCTGTTAGCTGGGTTGCATTTTCAGTTGAGACATGTTTACCGAGAAGCAAACTTTGTGGCAGATAGCTTGGCCAATAAGGCGGTTCAGGATGGGTTGTCCTCTGACTATAGTTCGATTCAGTTGCCTGCACTGGTAAGGATGAAGCTTTTACAGGATCAAAGGTGCTTTCCTGCTTTGCGTACAAAAACTGTGCTGCTTTTTGATGATGGTGGCTAAGGAGCAAGAGTGATGGTGGTGAAGGGGGTCTGCTGAAGCTTTTTGAGAGGCTTGTGGGTATGCTTTCTTGATTGTAATGCTCAAGGCAGTGGGAGCTTACTGCAATTTTTTGGTTGTTTTGTGTTTTTTCTTGATTGTAATGCTTAAGGCAATAGGTTGTTTTGAAAGTTTAAAGCCAAGTTGTGGCTCATCTTTTTTGCTTCTTGTAAATATTTCTGTTATTCAATAAAAATTTCTTTGTTTTTTTTTTTAAAAAGGTTTTATTAGAAAAAAAAAATTTTAATTATCATTACGGGCGTTTATTTATACGCAACGTTGGAAATCAGTTGTCCAGAAATAATAATTACTGACGTTTAAATAAACGACGTAATATAGCTCCGGTCAACAGAATTTAACAAAGAAGTCGTCGATTAAATAAACGTTGTTTTAGTGTTTAGTAAACATCACTTTTATTTTTGTAGCGTTTAATTATATGCTGATAATTTTTCCGACACAGGTTTCGATGGCGTAATTAACAAACATCAATAATAATATTTTACGGCGTTTATTCATATCTATCGGCATTTATGAAACGCCGATAAATGTCTTTTTTCTTGCATTGAAAGGGATGGCGAAGAAGCCGGAGGACAAGAGGGTTGCGTCCAATTGCATGAAGGAAGCCACGAATAGGTACTTGAATTTCATGGATGACGCAGCCCAGGCTCTTCCTGATAAGTGTGGTGTAAAGATGGATTTCCCAGTCTCTAGACGCATCATCGACTGCGAGTTGTAAGCTTTTTTTATTATTATTTGAGTTTGACAGAACTGCTCATGAATAGTTTGGGATTGACTCGTAGTGAAGGTCATTTAGGTACGGATGAAATGCACTAATGTAGTTCAATTTTAAAACCCTTAGTTTAGTTGGCTTGTCTAGACTAGTGATTATGTGAAATATAAAGCGAATTATAGGCACGATATTTTAAATTTTGTTGGTAATGATTTATTTGACTTGTCTAGCCTTGTATATATATACATTCATATACATATTTGAAGTTTCATACGAACGGGTTGAACTTGATATTGGGCAAATGCTGTGAACTTTAGTTTAAACAAGAACAGAATTCAAGCTCTAGTAAAATATTCCTCTAGTAAAGTACTTCAAATGGCTAGTCAGACCCATGTATGCTTACATTAAGATTCCAACGTGATTAAATACATGTTGAAGGAGTAGAGAGAGCCTTTTCTCTCTCTCTGCATATTTAAACAGAATTTAAACCGAGAAAATAAAAAGATCGTTTATATTAAACTTTGGTATTGTCAAATTTGAATTATTACACATTCTTTATATATAGTAGACTTTGGTATTGTCAAATTGAATTATTGCAGCCAGTTTAGTGTTATGTATGGAATTTGTCCTTTTTTGAGGTGCATGAGGTAATAATTAGATGTGCAATTTCACGGATTAACCCAAATTCAACTCGAATTTTAACTAAAACTCATTACAAGAATTAAGAGGAAGGAGTAGAGAGTCTTCTCACTCTCTCTCTCTCTCTCACACACACTCAGGCATCTCATCTAATGGTAACAACCATGATTGTCAGTCTCCATATGACGACAAGAGACAACCACAACCACCACCCACGTTTTCTGTCACCGATCAACCATCACCACTTACATCCTTTTTCTCCACAGTTTGCACCATGTACTCCGTCACTGATCTACCATCAGCACCGACCTCATCTTTTTGTCCACAATCTAATTTTTTATTTCCTTGTCAATTTTCAATTTGATTCTATTTTCAGTTTGATTTTTTTATTCATGTTTTGATTATTGGTGAAGAAAAGTGAAAGTGACATGTTGGGATATAAATTGAGTTTTGTTGAGGTTGAATTGTGAAAGTGCACTGGTTCTTGTGGTGTAGGTGATGGGCTGCCATTGATGGACATAGGCGCAGTGAATGTCAGAGTTGGGGTGGTTGGGTTGTCAAATTTAGTGGTGACGACGATGATGGTTGAGCTGCCGGAGTTATTTAATTTAAATTGATGGGTATTATGGTCATTTTATTGAAACTATTAATAGAGTTTAACGACGTATTTTAGTCCAATAACCACAAGGGGGGGTGATGTGCAATTTTTTAGTAACAAAGAGGTAATGTGCAAATGAATTAAACCATAAGGGGAACTTAAGTTTGGGATCTAAAAGGACTGTTTTCTTTCACCCCCACCCCAAGTGAAAGAAAAGGTAAACAAAACACACATAGGTTCTGTGCAGGCGCACTCATACACAGAGAAGAAGACTGGTCTGATTGAAATTATATTAACATATCCATGTTGTCTCTATGCCCCTCCAAGGGTTTGAACTGCTCTATTTTGATAGAGTTGGTGGTGCGGAAGTGCTCAAGAGCTTCCCCAGTCAATGACCTTGTGGAGAGCCGAACCATTCTATATTCTTCAACATCAAAAGGAACATAGACATACGGGAGGTCAGATCTCACTAGTTCTAATGGTGATTCCACTTTCGCCTCCCTTGGTCCTACGAAGAATGAAACGACTGATACACGTGGTTTCCCTTCCTTGTTTTGTACTCGGTGCTTCACATTATAAAACCTTCCATTGCTCCAAGCCTTTGACATATATATAAGAAATACTTTTTCATAAGGAAGACAAGAAAGAATTATTGTAATATATATCCAAGGAAAAACAAGTGTCATACCTTGGCAATATCTCCAAGAATGACAAGGAGGGTACCTGGCGGGGAGGGTTCAACTTCTATTATTTCACCAGACGTCTTGTCTACCAGTTCTAGACCACCAACACTTTCATCATCCTGGAGTATAATGAGATATGACAAGTCTGTGTGCATCGCGGCACCATTTGATCCTACAGTCTCGGGTGTGAAATTGTATTTGAGAATTTGGAATTGGCAGGGCCATCCTTGCATAAACTCAGGGATGTCCAACCCCAATGCTTCAACCAACTTGCCACCGATATCCATGGCCAACTCCTCTACTGCCTTGAAATATCTCAGTATTGTCTTCCTGTAAGAAATTAGGTGCAAATTAAATCAAGTAAAAGGGAGGAAAATTGATCCAACATGTATAGCAAAACTATATGCCAGATCAAGACCGTCGAAAACAATGGTGATAAGGCACCAATCAGGACTAATTTTGGGCAACAATGTCAGAAAATTTTAGATCTCATTCTGGAAGGCTCTCAACGATCTGAGTAAGATTAAAAGTTTTCATCCCATCATTTTTAAACCAAAAAATGACATTTAGGGCATTTGATCTCGCTGTTTGGGGCATTTTCATAATATTACTTATTTATTTGATTTTTCAATTAATTTAGGACCATTAAGGTTTTGTATTTTTATGGTCTTGAAAACTGATTCAGCAACTTTATTTGGTTTTGATTTGAAAAAAAACTTAGAGACAAGCTCTCTTTTCTTTCCAATTATGCCTTGATATTCTGCAAAATCAACAAAACTTTTGAAGACTCTAATCTGATATTACTTTTGGAATCGAAATTACTGCTTGTCTCCTTTCCCCCACTTTGTGGACTGGTCTTCTATCGTGCGAATCCTTGTTGTTGGAAGTTACTGCGCTGACCCTAGGATTATTAGGGAGTGCTTAATTAGTATTCCTCCTCTCTACCATTCTTTTAGTTTACCTTTTTCTTGTCCAATCATGTCTATTCCTTCCAGAGTTACATGCTCCTCTGCTTTTCCCTTGGGGGAAAGGTCTATCGAAGAGGGCACTGATTTAGGGGATGTAGGCGAGAAAATCGACAATGTCTCCGGTGTGGATGTTGTCGATGCCGAGAAAAATACTGAGGAACCATCTCCGTCGTCTTCTTTAGTGCTCCCTAATCGTAACAAAGATAAGGGCAAGGTGAGTGGGATAGGAGTCTCTTACAGCGCAACGGGCACAAGGGCCGCCTTTAGGCATGCTGAGCTCGTAGGACCTAGCGAGGTTTACTCTTCTCATGTGAGAATTCTTTGTGCTCATTAGAATTCTCAGGCATTCACCTATTGCAGTACGATCGTTAGTAAATAGCTTGGTTCCGAGCTCCCAACTCCGGAACGAGTATCTGTACTGAGCTTGTTGATGTTGAGTTATCATCTATTCTATGCTGGATTATTGTGGACTTCAATGGAACTGGATTGTAATCCATCTCAAGCCTAGTGAATACTATTTGGATGAGACGCTTAAGTCGTTTCGCGTGAGCCAAAAGAAGTTTTAGGCTTTGAAAGAGACCTACTTAAATCCATGGTCATCAAAAGGATTCATTACTATGTCAGCAATTCATGCCGATTTTAGTCTGTCTGTCTATGCTCATTGCTATTTTGCACACTTTTTCTTCCTTTGATTCTTTTGGAATTGTAATCATATTGTTTTTCTTTTTGCTTTAGGGATGGATCATCTTATTCTCTCATTTTAGAATATTAATCATCCCTTTTGAGATCTCTTTTGTAAATGAACCTTTTTTGATTTTTAATGAAATCCATTTTTACTTACCGGAAAAAAAAATTGAACAACAAAACCCAACAAAGAAACCCAAAGAAATCATCCGAAATGGCTACTTTAGCATCACTAACCGCTAAAACTTAAAATCTTGATTTAATCAATCAAAATCATTAAATGAGTGGTATAGCGAGTCCCAATAAATTCAGGATCCACAGTTAAATGAATGTCAATGATTCATCAAATCAACATATTAAATCATTATTTTAAGTCCATGTCATATTATTCTTTCACACATGCACAACAATTTATTTTCAAGTTTCCCCACTCTTCTGCGTATGATGAAAACTGACCAATAACAATAAGGCACTATCTTTGCTCTTTCCAGACATATTTGAAAAAAAAAATTGCAATCAAGTCCTCTACTCTTTTCTTCAAGCTTTTTCTTAAACTTTGAAGTTGAAACTTTAACAATAGTGCAACTCGAAACTTCAGTCGCCATAAACTACAAAAAATCATAAAAAGATACATTGAAAGACAATCAACCATTGATCTCAGCATGAATTATGAAGAATCTCCAATAGTAAGAGAGAGAAAAACAACCCATTCAAGAGAAACTCAATGCCAATCACTTCAGCCATCCACCCTCTTCAATGGTGTCCTTTCCGGTCTAAATTTGCTTGTAACTTTTTGAACAACACGCTCTCCCTCTCTCTCTCTCTCTCTCTCTCTCTCTCACACACACACACACACACTCACACACTCACTTTTAAGAGGATCACCGATAACTATTATAAAACTCTAAAATAGTAAAAATTTAACTAACTAAAGATAAAAGTCATGCTCCGACATAATATGTTCAGATGATTAAAATAATTTTTTGCTATAGTGGCAATTTAAATACAGAGTGTCATTATAGCAATTTGTATAAGTAATTTATAATTTTTTTCTCCCCTTGTCCTTTCCCACCTCTCATGTCCATTCTTTCTCTCTCTCTCTCTCTCGCCAACATTTGAACAAATGTACAAAAAATGAGAAATAATATTTAAAAGTAGTAGTTAAAATATAAAATATTTAAAAAATTGAGTTGCTAAAATAGAGAATATTGTTTTTTAGGTAACTAAACTAGTTTATACCTACAAATTTTGAAACGATTTTGAATGTCGTCGCCATTACAAATTTTATAAGTTATTTTTACAGTTTTTATGCTAACTTGTAATAGATATTAAAAATGTTAGAAACGATTCTGACAAATCCAAGAAAATTACGACAAAGTGATAATTTGACCTAAAAAAATTTAACCCAAACCATAAAAATTTTAAGTTGAGCAC